TCCACTGAAGAACATATTATTTTACCAGAAGAGCATACATTCCATGTAATATGAGAAGCAGTAGTTGAGTTTTCTGGCGCATCACTGACGGGAATGGACCTCAAGCAAGCATTACCCTTTTCCAGACAGGTAAGTAATGAAACTGACCTGAAAAACATAAGGATTGAATGAATATAAGAATGTGCATGCAATTCGAGATCACAACTAAAGTTTATAAGTAACAGTACCACCATGAACTAAATTTTACTCAATAGATGTACAGAATTTCCATTCTTGCATACCGATGCATGCATATGCAAAATAATTGTGAATATACGTCAGCTAGTTCTCCTCTCTTCTAGTTCTAATATAACTTTCTTTGTCCACAAAGCTTTGCTCTTGAATCACTAGATAAACCTTCGTATTAAGTTTCACTATCTATATACATTGGAACCTCAGGATGTCAAAGACAGGAGTATGTGCTGAAAGCAAGAATAATCTATCCGAACTTTTTTATTCAATATCCTGCAGATGCATATGCCTGCAGCAGTCTTTTAAACATGATAGTATCATAGGTTTGACCCTCTAAATGCCAATTGGGCAGGTGCTAAAATTTTAATTCAACCATCTGTGATACTCTTTCACATGAACAAGTTTCTACAGAATATATCTTAGGTACAGCAGATTGGTAAAATGTTCGGATACAAGTTCAAAAAAACTGCTACATCTGCTATGAGCTATGAACTATGGCATTTATTTATGTTACCTTGATGGAACATCAATTCCTTTAGTTTTGAAGAGATGCAATCCAACAACACGATCATCATTAAGAGAGCCATCCAGTGATAAGGGTTGATCGATCTTAGTGATGCCCAAAGCCTCTCCATTAATAGGATTTAGACACTCAACCTGGAATTCATAAAATTTCTCATGTTTCAACAACCTAGAAAAAGAGGGTTTTCTCTTGTTTCATATATGATAACTTACCAAACCATTCTTGCGAGCAACAGCCAAAAGCTGCAAAGAACAGCAAACAATTTACAAGTGTCATCTATAGAAGGTAGAAGAATATTTTACATGTCGAACTGTTATGAGATAAAAGATATAATTATACTAGAGTAACATATAAGAATTTCCAAACAAAGGAAAGAAAGGTGGAAACACATCTTTAGTGATTACATGCCAATCCAAGAATGTGAAATAGAATGTGACATTATAGTCAACAGAATTCGCAAATCGACAACAGGGTTCCAATGAATTACAAAACTTCCTTATAGGAATTGATCCTAGATCTCAAACTAATCGTGAATAATCACATTAAAGTTCGTATAATACTTAGGAATGCTTGTCCACCGTAATCAAACTCTAAAATCTTTGAACATACACTTTTCTTTTGTAATGTTAAACCACCATATCTCCATTAATCATCCATATTAAACTTTCAATCTGGAAAGTGAAGGCACAAAATAGGTTTCTGCTTATTTAAGAAAGAAGAACATAACATGAATATTAGCTTCAAACTAGTGAAGCTTTCATTAATATTCAAGAGAAACTAATAAGATTGATTTCTGGTTTACTTCAAAACTACCAAGAAGCCATGAAGATCCAAAAGGAGACTAACATAAGCTTTGATTTGGTTGTTTACCTCCCATTAAGTAGTTAAGATTGTCATAGCATTCATTTATGTATAATAACTCATATCCAACAAAGAATGTGATAACAAACCGGATCAGTTTTGCGATCAGAATAAGAAGCAGCAAGAACACAAGATGAAGCATCTGGCTGCCCCCATGTTTCTACCACCTTTGGAATTCCAGTCTTTCCATGAGCTTCAACAACTGAAAACTCATTGCAATATCACATCATGAGTTGTAATTAAGAAATGCATGCCATGTAGGCCATTCAAGAAAGAGTAATGTTTAAGCAACAACGACCACCTTTTACAAGACCGAGCACGTCAGTCGTCAAGGCTCTCAAAGGTGGGCATCCGGGGCACTCCAATGCACTTGTCCGTGGCATCTTCTTGAAACCTTTTGGCGCCTCAAAACTTCACCGAAATTATAAATTTCACCAGTAAGTAAAAGCAAAACAATTAACCGATCAATAGAACACACAAGAATAACAAAGCAATTAAGGTGTAGGGGCTGCAAAATCTTGTGCTGTGGAATCTCCAAAGAGAGGTAGGTAGAAAAAGATCAATCAATGTCCCAAATATTGCAAGTTTCAAACATACTTATGGGAAGGAGAAAAAAAAAGACAAAAGATCTATATCGCCGGCGACCATACCGATCTTTGGGAGGGATCTGGTACCGGATCTTGACAAGAGCCGAACTCGAGGGGAGAACGTAGGAGTCCGCTCGGTCAGAGATCAACAACTAGATTTGGCTGGTCTCAGGAGGCGTCCGGCCAGGGCGATCTACGCTCGCTCGGCGCCCCTTAACCAGCGGCATAAAGAAACACAGATGCCGGACGACGGGAGGGCTGACGGTTAGGGTTCTTGACGAACGGGTGCGACGCCGGACTGTGCTTTATATAGAAAGAGCACTAACGGGTGCGAGTCGGGCTTAAAATCTCATCTCGGTCCAATCGCGCATTGGTTCCATCCGCCTAACTAACGTTCGCCTCCCATCGTTGGAAGCTTTTAATAACAATACTGACTCAATTGAACATACTACTGATTTCTATATTTGGATGTCTTTTTACGATAATTTAAATATTATGATGTGATATACATTCATGACAACATTGAGGGCTTAGCACGGGAGTGATACACTAACTTAAAATTTCTCTAGATCGACTCCTTCACTCGACTTATAAAAGAGTTCGAACTCTACTTGAGAATATACACCGAGACTATTAGCATTGATGTTGCCCAGACTCAAGCAAGGGAAGAAAGAGATACTCTTTGACTTTGTTGCTTGATTCTATCATGCCCCTAAATTTAATTCTTATTCATGAACCTAACTCAAAATTGATAATCTTATAATTCAACAAACAATCCAGGATCCAAACATAAATTTGAGGCCACTAAAAAAATATTCTAAGTCAAAATTTACCTCTACAATCCACAATTCATAAAACCCGTGCAGTTTATAATCATACATCATATCACTTAATGATTCATAAAATAAAAAACCAGCTCGACTAAACCATAATCACATCATAAATCCATAGTTGTGGAAATCTACACGATCACAAAACCAACATACACCACATGTTTATATCATTACACAATTTAAACTTAACATTCCCAACAATCTCGATATAAGAGGTACTTTTCAAACATTTACAAGATACATCAATCTAGATTTGTTATTAATATTTCATTACATACAAAATGTATTTATAGATCAACCACCTTTCAACTATGAAAGATTTGGCCCAAAAATCTTCTAGCTTTTCACTGCCTTAACCCAATTTAAACATTTTAGCGAGCAACAAGCTATCCTAAAAAAATTATATAACAACGGAGTGAGCATATAAGGCTCAACAAGTAACTAACATATCCATGACAAAGAGAACGGTTTAAAACAAATATGGTTTCAAAATATAAGGCAATGATACAAGAGTTCAAAGATAGCCACTCGTCGAATACAAAATTATAATGTCGTATCGTTCGAAGCATATTTTATTTATAACAATAGAGTAAGGCTAATTGGAGCATATCATTAGCATAAGGAGCATATCCATGACATAAAAAATATTTCAAAGCATATCAAAGAACAAATATGAAATAGAAGCTTAAATGACACATATGATGTCACATTCATTTCATTCTTATCCAAAGCATGCATAGAATACATATAACCAAAGCTTTGGATATCATGTCAAGAAGTGAAATATGATTATAATATAATATGGTTCATCCATTTCTGAATGACTATCAAACATAAGTCTTCCACGTTTGGGAGCTCCATCCACCCATGTATGAGTGAAGTCATAGGGGGCCAGTAGAGCATCGCAGGCTCTAAACATAACTCATTTTACTATTTCTGACAAATGTTCATATTTAACCTGCAAACACCGAAGTACAAAAGTATAGTGAACAATAAAATTGAGACATATCATAAACACATGCAAAACAACGGAATGCATGTGCCTATATGAAACATTGCGATACAAACATGAACTTTATGTAATAAAATCAAGTATACAAATAATTAAAGAATAAGAGTATATAGAAATTTAAGATAATAATATAAAGCTCAACTGATTTTTATTGAAATCAATTTCCTAAAGCGAAGAAACAAGAAGAGGCAAAATCGACCAAAGCTCAATTCTGGTATAATATGAGAGGCACATTGTATGAATTATTTAGATAATCAATTCTGCTCTAATTTATACAAAATAGGTGTCATTCGAAATATGTGTCAATCTAGTTTTAGTAAATCAAGTTTTGCATGAATTGGAGTTTACAATAGGGAGTTACAAATAATTTCATAGTAAAAGGTCTAAAAACATTAGCTCTGTTTTACTGAATCCACAAGGTCAAAGAAAATAAATGTTTTTAGTTTGCATTTGTATTCCAAAAATTTCAAATTAGGTAAGCATAGAAAGAGTCTAGTTTCCAATAAATCATACTTTACATAAATCTGAGTTCGTAGTAGAAATTTATAAGCAATTAAGTAACAAAAGTTCAGAAATTACAGTTAGACATTTAAACTCCAAATCATTCAATCTAGATATCATAATAAAGGTCTTTGAGTCTACTTTCAAATGTATTAGGCTTTGCCTAAATCAGAGTTTAGTACTAAAAGTTAGGTCCAAAACAATGCATAGAGGTCAGATTACCGAAAAATTATAGATTCATGGTTTTGTATCAAAATGAAAGAAATGTCCGGTGTTAAGCTGAAATATTTTAAATTATATAGAATTAAAATGAAAATAGATATTAGGATTTCTATGGGATAGGGTTAGAACACTTGTCTTAGAAAATTTTGATTCTCAAATGTGAGGAAATTAATGCAAAACCTTAAGTCAAGCTTCTTCTTCTTCTTCTTCTTCTTCTTCTTCTTCTTCAATTCCTCTTCCATTCTTTTTTCAAACCCACACTACAGTAAGTATCCTTAAGTTTTCCTTTAATCTCTATCTAATTACTTGGGTTTGGCAAACAAGGTGGCAAGCATGCATGAAAGGGCTTATATGTCATCAATTGAATAAACATAAGTGGCACCATACTTATATTAGCTAGTGATACATGTCCTCCATATTTTTTTTAACTTAATATGAATCTTTGACAAATCATATCAATTTCTTAAGATTCACATTTACGTCTCTATCTATAAACTTCTAATATAAAATTATTTATCACACGTGTCATCACTCATGTGATTGGCTTACAAGACATATATGACTAGCATAATTTGATAGTATTTAATCATTAATAATTGGTCGTGAACCAAGTAGACGGGAGCTATGAAACTCGAGATAAGACCATGGCCAAGTACCTTATCGAGATGCAATAGTTAGTTTAAAGATTCTCCTGACTCAACATGTTGTGGGTCCCTCATGCAAAAAATACCGAAGCTAATGTGCTAGCCTCCATCCAATCTATGAAGGAAGGCCAGTTAATAATAAAGACTTTGCTAACTTGAACCATCGGAAGGCACGATGTGGCTACGATCAAGGGGAACCAAGCTAGATCGATGAGATCTTACACTATAAGAGAGATATGACACTCATTACTAACCTTATAATAGCTTAGAGGGTCACGTTTAATCAAGCATGACATCAAGTCCAATAGGTCGACCATCTCCAAAGCTGTAAAGGGTAAAGGCTTCCTCTTTCATGGGTCCAATATCAATCGAGGCCTCTCCTCTTCCTAATCGAGCCTAGCTTGGACCTTCTTAGGGCATTGGTGCTATAGTCAAGGGAGGCTACATTTTTTTAATCAACTTCTTAGGCATGTCACCACTTTAAGGATGCAGGTTTTTCTCTGGTATAACCTTATATTTATTTTTTGGTCGATCATTACTGCCATGACGACTAGACCAATGTAGATCCAATGCCTCTATTGACGGCTCGTGGGCAACTGTTGGGACAGAGCAAGGCTTTGCTGCACTCGATGAAGAGTCGGGTTTCTTCCTTTTCAAAGTATGTAGGTTCATGCCTATATAGGGCCTAAATCACAAAGTTAAAGATTAAAAAGAAAAGTCAAGTAAAGCGAGGGAGGTTCAAGACATACCTCGAGGCTAAGACTCGCACTAATCAACCACTCCTTATCCATCTTTTAAACTATTTTGGAGGAAGAAAGTATTTCCTTAGTTGAAGTACTTAATCTGCCTCCTCATCTGATAGGAAAGGAGGGTAATTATCAATGTAATATACCGACCATGTGAAGTTAAACTCTTAGTCTTAACATAAGCTCGTAAGGAAGAAGTACTCATTCCAACCCTTATTGTTGGAAGGGGCACTACTAACCTTGAAACCCCCCTAAGTGGCTACATAGTAGCTATTTCTCCTCTTGCATGATAAAAAACAAGAGACAAAGAGGGTGTGGGTCGAAGTAATGTCGACACATCATCATTCCCCAATGAACACCATATGATAGTGTCATGAGTTGGGCGTCATTTGGAAAGGTTATATCTCCCATCATTGAATGCAGGACACTATTATTGCATGGAAAGGAAGATAAAATCTCACCTTAAAGGCATTACAAGATGGGTAGATAGACTAAGGAACAAGATCATAAGGGCACTAAATGGATCGGGAAAATTATAAATTGAATTCAACTGAGATACAATACTTAGTTTGTAGGTGATCTAAAAGAGGTATGTTCTTCCTAATCACAATCAAGAACTTCTCGTGGGTTCCAAGTCCCCAAGAACTCTTAGGTTCATGGGAGAGGCCCCTTCCAATGAAGAGGACCCGACCTTCTCCGCCCTCGGGCTATCCTAAGATGAAGTACAAACCTCGACCTACTGATGGCTAGAGGATTGAGAAGAACTTATACGAGAGAGGAGAGATATCCAAACCAGAGACAAAAGAATAGAACTGACATCGAGATGAAGGACTCAAAGACTTACTCATGTTGTCAAGAACTAAGGCGAGATGGGAGACGCTCGTAAGGAGGCTATAGGGGCGAAGTTGAGAGCCCTTGAGGCTCTGAAGACTTTGAACTTTGGAGGCTCAAATAGAGGAATAAGTCATATCCTGTATGGAAATGAGATTTATAAAAAAAGCTCCTTTTGCAATCAAGATAAGTGTCCCTTCGAGGGAAATCCATGAGAGACACTAATAGTAAAAGGATTCAAAATCTGCCACAATGAAGGGAGGACCCAAAATCTGTCATGATTGGGAAGGACTTCGAAATCCGTTATAGTCGAGGAAGGACTTGGAAATCCATTGTGGTAAAGGCATAGAGCCAAATATGCTCGAGGTGCATGAGTCGAAAAACTTAACCTGCATTAAGACAAATTTGCCATGACCGAGGTGTAAGGTCAAGTATGCTTGAGGCGTGCGAGTTGGGAAACCTAACTTGCATCAAAATAAATTCGCTACGATGATGTAGGGCCAAACATGCCTACGGCATGTGAGTTAGAAAACCTAACCCACACCAAGGTAAACTTATTATGAGAAAATCATATGGTGAAATATGCCCGCGATGTATGAGTTAGGGAAAATCAACCTCTGCCTACGGGTGCCTCCTTCACGCTACTGATGAACATGTTAGTAACAAGCCTATTAGGTGAATTGAATGTCGTGCTTTGGACCCTCTAACATGAGCCTTAAAGCATGCCTTAGGAGGATGAGGCAAATAGTAGGAAACTTGTTAGCAGTTAATCACTATCCAACACTTATCGCCACGTAGAGGTTGAAATGAAAAAGAAAAGGTCATAATCACTCTACATTTGTCTGCCTCGTGGACAATAGTCAAAAGGAGGCGGTTTGGGCTCATCTCCCCCATGTCGCCCATATGGATAAAACGTTAAATTAGGACATTAAGACAATTACATGTTGTCCCTTATATAGACAAAGTATAAAAACTAACTCCCGATGTTGTGCTGAGGGATTCTTTTTTCGAGAAAACCTCATACCTCATAAATGACATCAGACTAACTTAGACATCAAAGCTATCAGAGCGAAAAATTTTCTCTTGACAACGATCTTAGTATAGGTGGTGCCTTGGAAGCTCAATCGCCTGTCTTAGAGCTATCTCCAAGTCATCTCGGAGCCACTCAAAGAATCACATTGAATCACTTCGAACACTCCTACGTATTCCGATTTGAATCATGTCGGGTTGACTCAAACATCGATAAAACTTTTTTCTAACACCAATTAAATTTATTTATCATATTATACATATAACTTTTTATTTTTTATTAAATTAATCACGCCAAAGATCAATCGGTATAGATTTTATCATGGTTGTATCTAAAGAAATAAAACATGATGCCAAACCATTACATGTTAATTTTATTATTATTGTTTGAAACTTAATCACTCCAATTTAATGGTAAAGTTCGATTTAGAATAATAAATAAAATCAATGATGTTATCTATACGAGTATATATAATTTGATTGTTCCCACGGGACAATTTTAATTTAATTATTAATCACACTTTACTCATCTAATTGGTGGCTTTGTATCGAACAATGACTACTCTTGGTTGGTATACGTAAAATTGTAACTCGTTGTATGCACGTGTATTTTTTACCATGTGTAATTTTGCTGATCGCATTTATTCTACATCGACTATGATTTAGGGTGATTTCTGTTGCGTTGGGTCTAATTGAATCATCCGACCGGGAATGTCACGTGGATATCACGTGATAGTTACACATATGAGGACCCTCTCATCCCTTCCCTGTTGCGCCGACCTACCTCTCTCTCTCTCTCACACACACACATATATGAGTTTATATATATTCCGCCTATTGGGCTTTTATCGGTGGCGTCTCCTTTCCTCTCCTTCGGCTCCACTCTCTCTCTCCTTCTTTCCATCGCTCTCTGCTCTCTTTTTCCAAGTCTTTCATTCGATGTGTATGCTTCATCGCCCTGCTTCTTATCTCTTTGACACGCTCGTTGATTCTCTTTCTTCCTCCTTGCTCATCGACCTAATCACAGGTTCGTGGACTTTGATCTTTTGGATAATCTGTTTAGATGGATAGGGTTTCGATCTGTGTCGCCGTTTATCCTGGATTTTTAGGTTGATTTTTGGGTGCTTGTGGGGGATCCAGGTTCCTGAAACAGGGGAGAGGCTGGAATCGAGATGGCAGGGAACCGGTCGAATCTGCCCTTGCGACTGCAGCAGATCTTATCCGGCGGGAGGTCCGTCTCGCCGGTGCTTAAATTGGAGTCCGAGCCCGTGAGTTCTCCCTGGATTAAACCCCTTCTTATCTTTCGTTCTTGGTGTTCCAATTTAATTTCCGTCATCAGATGGGGTATCTTTTTGTTTTTCTCGATGTTTGATTCTTAGTTGTCGATCGTGGAGTGCGATCAGTGCTTGAAGTCGTTTAGATGGGGATACACGATAGACTCGTCTCTTACGTTGTTTTCCTGTTTTGTCGATCGCGATGGCGTATCTTGTGCTTGCCCTTTTCTTGGTTGTGTTTTTTGCTGTCGTAGCTATTTTGTGATGAATGATTTTAGTACGAGTCAAAAATGGATTTGCTTAACTGCAAAGTAACAAAAATTGGTACTATTTTTGGTGTTCCACTTTTGTGATTTGGTACTGCAAAATAACGAAGTAACTCCGTCGTTTAAACTCTGTTATTCTTCTGGCTTCCACCTTTGTAATTAGATGTGTTGGATGGACCATTTCACGTATGTATCAGAGTTGAAGCTATATCATTCATTATCTATGTCTTCTTTGGCATAAGAAGAAAAGAGAGAAGAAGAAATGACTTGAGTTATCATGTTGGTCTTAGGATCGATTAAGATGATAAGATGGAGGGAAAAAAGATAGAAGACAAGTGAGAACCTTGTTCTGGGTTTGTAAAATCGTGGTGCTCAAGCAATGACCTCTTTATCTATGCTTCCACCCAGCTCTTACCTAGCTTACTTGCTTGGTACTTATTAGTTATTACAACATACATAGTGCATAAGGAACTGGAAGGAAAATGCAAGTTATGATATGTTTTTGAGTTGTGTGCTTCATTAGGAATTTCTTTTATAGGATACAGACCTAGCAGACCTAGTTCATCTACCCTTTTTTTGTGATAGAAGAAGATCAAGTAGTTATAGTATTTCAGAATTGAACAAAAACTGAACAGGGGGAGCCATGGTGATTAACAATTATTACTTCAGTCAAAGGAGTAGGAAACATACATCCATTTGTGCTACTTGAACCAAAGCATTATGTGTGTGTGTGTGTGTGTGTTAGATGCTAGTAAATTGTGGAAGAACTCAACTATTTACCTGAAATAAGGTAAATGGTGCTATCAGATGGAAGCTCGTGTCATATGTATTTCCATGCTAGCTAATGTATATTGTATAGTAAGGAAGGAATTTTCAGAGGAAGCACATCATCTATTATATTGGGTATTTAGAAAAATAGGATCTTGTTATGTGAGTTCCTGGTGAAAGATGGTCTGATGGAAACCATGGGGTTCTATTTTAAATTTTATGGTTGAATATCCTTTTTAGGAAAAAAAAAGTTACAAGTGTTTATACTTATGTTTAATGCATAAGATACTTAGCGTACAACATTTTATAGTTATTTTCAAGTATTTGAGTAAAAAAAACATGGTTTGTTTTCTGAAATATTCAAATTTTTTAGGTCAACTTCAATAGAAAATCCAAGGGTATCAATTTTTTATCAACCATGGTCAAGCCTGCATGTTTTTTGGCCATCCATCCCAAACTCTAATAATCACATTATTAATCTGTTAGATGGGGAAATGTTTATAATGCTCCAGATGATTTCTTTTGTTTTTCATTATATGTTTATTGGTTTCTGCCACAAACTTTTACATGAAAAACTATCTCCATACTGAATGATCATTTTATTGTTTTTAGCTTTGCTACATTGTTTGAGGTTTAATTCTAGCTACTTTGTCATCCTAAGACAGTTTTTCGTGGTTATAAACATTGAAATTTTTATAGGAAGTTTATTTGTATTTGATTACACTTTTGGTTTATGCATTCTCTTAGTTTATAGTATGCTTCTGATGCATGCCAATCATTTAACTTAATTGCTTTCATCATGATGTCCAAGAAAACGGTGCAACCAAGCCTGAAATCCTTCTAGGATTTTGCTGTTAAACTAGCTCCTCTATTGTTAAGCTTGTAAATAATCCTCAAGATATTCATCTCTCTGAATCCTGTGTTGGATAAATGATTAATATCCTTTCCACAAACAATTCAAGTGATAGGTTCCAAACTAATATCTACAGTAACTATATGAGCTACTATACAGCAGACTTGGTTTACTTGATGTTCAAAATATGATTTGCTGTCATGTATAACTTCCTGGTTGGCAAGTTATGAGTGATAATAACTCTTATTATTATTTTACTGCACTCTTTCATCTTCCCCGTCTTCTCCCTGTAGAAACTGTATTTGTTTCATGCATTTAAATTTTATATTGGTTTATGTCACTGGTTCACCATTTCTTTTTGACTGTATATCCCAACAGCAACTTGTAAATACTATTGTATTTCTTTTGCACAATTTCATGGTTCTCAATGTGCTGTACTATTGTAGAAATACATATTTAAGGATACGCTGGCCAAGTGACGTTATGATATGTTTGTTCATAAATAGTTATAATGTTAGGATTTCCTTGTGCTAGTTGCTGCCACTCTTCTTGATTCTTCTGATGCTATGTGTTAATCTGTATTGTAGTTTAATTTTTTTCACATAACGAAAAAGTATAGCCAATGTGTATTGTTTGGGTTTAGTTTGAGTAATGGGGTTGAGTTGCATTAGTGTTGCTTTTAGTTATCTCTGCTCTTGTAAATTATCTGATAGTTATATTGCATCAGGTACATTTTTAATCATTTCTAATTGCTAGAGAACATATTCATATTGGAAATTCATAATACTTTTTGGTATCATTCCTGGAGTTGTTTGTCGGGGATGTTTCACTTGCTTGTTGGGTTGGCTTTTCAACTCAGAGATGTACTAAATTTCAGTGTAAAAAATGTTAGAGGAATATTAAACAAAACAAACTTACAAAGAAATTGTCAGATGAGAATAATATAAGCTAACAGGTTGAATGAATAATGCAATATATATTTGGTGGTTGATGGTCTTATAATAAGTTGTATGTAATATTCAAATGTCCCCAAACATCAATTTTAAAGCACCAAAGAATCTCTTCTGCATGGATTCTGTGAAGCTAGTTGGATTTTCTAATGTCATATTTGTTCTACCTTTCTGATTGCATAATAGTTGTTCTGGACCTTCTGGTGTACCAATAGTATATTGTACCAACATACTAAGCAATTGGACCTTCTGGTGTACCAATAGTATATTGTACCAACATACTAAGCAATTGTTTGAATATGTTATTGTTGGCATTGCTGAAGTGGTGTACCATACTAGTTGATACATATTGGTTTGATAATAATTCTTGTATGGTTACTGGTATTGATATTCATAACCTTGGGCCGAAATGGTACGGGTGGTGTCAGTCTATTTCTTTGTAATATATTCTAGGATATTTTTATTGTTTCATCACAGTTTTGTGATATTTTTTTATCAGAAACAGGAAATTTTGGACTATTATGTGAAATCAATACATTTTTGGTGCTTTCAGTTTTCTTGGTCTCATTTGGACACAAGTTGTCATGTTTCTGATGTTAATTACATATTCCTGCTTGTAGTTCTGTTTCAACTGGTCACTGGTTTGTAATTGAGAAGTAGCATTCATAGAGTCAAGTCTTCTGCATTGTGCCATAAACTGGAACATATTTGATTTGATGTGTCTATAGGACATGTAAATGACGAATTTGAGTTTTCTTTCGATACATCAACTTTTAACTGTATGTTTTTCTGAACCTTTTTTAGATTATCATTTGTCTTAAATATGTTATTATTTGGTATTTGCAGCCTCCGAAGGTTAAAGCTTTCATCGATAGGGTGATTAAGAGCCCATTACATGATATAGCTATACCTCTTTCAGGCTTCCGTTGGGAGTTCAAAAAGGTGCAGTGGTGTTTTTAATATCCAGTAGATGTTTCATGGATGCTTTGCTTGTTCCAATCTTAGTTTTTTATTTCATTTCAGGGAAATTTCAACCACTGGAGGCCGCTTTTTGTGCATTTTGATACATATTTCAAGACATACCTTTCTTGTAGGAAAGACCTCCTTTTGTTGGACCATATGTCAGACGAAGATCCGTTTCCCAAACATTCAGTGATGCAGATCTTAAGAGTCATGCAAATTATTTTTGAAAATTGCCAGAACAAAAGTTCGTTTGGAGGTCTAGAGGTAAATCTGAAGCTCCAAATTATTTAGAGGATAAGTTATATCCACAATTTTAGCAAATCCATTTGCACTTTGCTTACTGACATATTAATCATGTTCCTGAATCAGCACTTCAAGCTTCTACTTGCATCCGTAGATCCAGATATTATTATAGCTACGTTGGAGACTCTTTCGGCTTTGGTGAAGATAAATCCATCCAAGATGCATCTGGGTGGGAAACTGATTGGTTGTGGCTCTCTGAATAGTCGTCTTCTGTCTCTAGCACAGGGCTGGGGAAGCAAAGAAGAAGGCCTGGGTTTACATTCATGTGTTGTGGCAAACGAGAGGAATCAGCATGAAGGATTGTGCTTGTTCCCTTCAGATATTGGTGATAATTGTGATGGTACCCAGCATCGTTTGGGTTCTACTCTCCATTATGAATACAATATGGTTTCTACTATTGAAGAGAGCAAGTCATCCATTTTATGTGTCATAAAGATTCCAGATCTGCATACAAGAAAGGAGGATGATCTGAGCATTTTGAAGCAGTGTGTTGACCAATATGACGTACCTCTAGCACACAGATTTTCATTGCTTACAAGAATTAGGTATGCACATGCCTTCCGCTCTCCCAGAACATGCAGACTGTATAGCAGGATCAGCATTCTTGCTTTCATTGTTCTGGTACAATCAAATGATGCTCATGATGAACTTATGTCTTTCTTTGCAAATGAACCCGAGTACACAAATGAGTTGATCAGGCTTGTTCGTTCTGAAGAATCAGTTCCTGGAACTATAAGGGCACTTGCTATGCTTGCCTTAGGAGCACAGTTAGCAGCATATGCGTCATCGCATGAACGGGCTAGAATTTTGAGTGGTTCAAGTATTATATCTGCTGGTGGAAATCGTATGATGTTGCTAAATGTGCTTCAGAAAGCTATTGTGTCACTTAGCAACCCCAATGATCATTCTACGCCAGTGTTTGTTGATGCTCTTCTACAGTTTTTCTTACTTCATGTTTTATCGTCTTCAAGCTCTGGTAGTGCTCTAAGGGGGTCAGGAATGGTTCCCCCACTTCTACCTCTTTTACAAGACTCTGATCCAGCACATATTCATCTTGTCTCTTCTGCGGTCAAAACCTTGCAGAAGCTGATGGAGTATAGTAGCCCAGCTGTATCTCTATTTAAAGATTTAGGTGGCATTGAACTTTTGGCTCAGAGACTGCAGATTGAAGTTCATAGAATTATTGGCTCAGGTGAAGCTAATAGTAACACACTTATATCACCTGATCTGTTAAAATCTGATGAAGATCATCTGTATTCACAGAAGCGCCTTATCAAGTTTTTGCTTAAGACACTGGGTTCTGCCACATATTCTCCAGCAAATGCGACAAGGACTCAGAATTCTCACCATAACTCCTTGCTTGCTTCTTTATCCTTGATATTTAACAATGTAAGCATGTTTGGAGGGGACATTTATTTTTCTGCAGTAACTGTTATGAGTGAGATCATTCACAAGGATCCAACTTGTTTTCCTGTTCTGAATGAATTTGGTCTCCCGGAATCATTTTTATCATCAGTGATTTCTGGGATCCTTCCTTCCTCAAAAGCACTTATATGTGTTCCCAATGGTCTTGGTGCCATCTGCCTTAATGCTAAAGGATTGGAGGCAGTTAAAGAGACTGGTGCACTGCGATTTTTGGTGGAGACCTTCACAACAAGGAAATATTTGTTAGCAATGAATGAAGGTGTTCTTCTTTTAGCAAATGCTGTTGAGGAGCTTCTTCGGCATGTATCTTCACTAAGAGGTATTGGCATTGAGATAATAATTGAAATTATTAACAATCTTGCCTCCATGGGAGAAGAGAAATGCAAAGAAACTACAGTGGTTATGGATGAGAACACTGCCATGGAAACTGATATTGAAGAAAAGGCAAATGAAGGGCATGATTTGGTGAGAGCTATGGAATTAGCTACAGACGGCATCAGCGATGAGCAGTTTGAGCAGTTATGCATCTTCCATGTGATGGTATTAGTTCATCGAACAATGGAAAATTCTGAAACTTGTAGAATGTTTGTGGAGAAGGGGGGTATAGAAAATTTGTTGAGACTTCTTCAACGACCTAGCATCACACAGTCATCAGATGGGATGCCGATTGCTTTGCATAGCACTGTGGTCTTCAAGGGCTTTACTCAGCATCATTCTGCACCCCTTGCACGTGCATTTTCTGCCTCTCTCAGGGAGCATTTAAAGAAAGCTCTGAATGGATTTAGTTCAGTTTCTGGTTTGTCTTTGCAGGATACTAAGTTTACACAGGATAGTGAAATCTTCTCTTCTCTTTTTGTTGTTGAGTTTCTCCTTTTCCTTGCTTCCTCTAAAGATAACCGCTGGATGAGTGCATTGCTCACTGAATTTGGAGATTCTAGCAGGGATGTACTAGAAGATATCGGGTGTGTGCATCGTGAAGTCCTGTGGCAGATTGCCTTTCTCGAAGATTCAAAGATCGAAAGAGATTATGATTCCTCTTCAAATGAGGTAAATGTAGACCCTGGGGTGGTCGACTCAGACGAGCAAAGGATCAATTCTTTTAGGCAGTATCTTGATCCATTACTTAGACGAAGAGTTTCTGGGTGGAGCATAGAGTCTCAAGTTTCTGACCTCATTAGTATATATCGTGACCTTGGCCGAGCTGCTACTGGGTCACATAGATATGGTGTAGATGGCTATTCAGCGTTACGAGTTGCTTCCAGTTCCCGATCCCGGCCTTCTAATTCTTTAGACTCAAGTGCTGCAAGCAAAACAGAAGAGGACAAACGTAAATCTTATCATTCTTTATGTCATGAGATGATGAGGTCACTCTCTTATCATATTAACCATCTGTTTATGGAGCTGGGAAAAGCCATGCTGCTTACTTTGCGCCGCGAGAACAATTCTGTAAATGTTTCTCCTTCTATTGTGTCTGTTATCAATACAGTTGCCTCCATTGTGTTGGGACACTTGAATTTTGGGGGGAATTCTAATATGGAGAGTGAGGTCTCTGTCTCCACAAAATGTCGATATCTTGGCAAAGTGATTGAATTTATTAATGGAGTTCTATTAGACAGGCCAGAATCTTCCAACCCCATAATGGTAAAGTTCTTTTTTGGACATGGGGTTATTCAGGTCATTTTAACCACTTTTGAAGCTACAAGCCAGTTGCTTTTCACAGTCAACAGGGTGCCAGCTTCGCCAATGGATATGGATGATAAATGCCACAAAGAAGAGAAAGAAGAATCAGATAATTCATGGATATGTGGTCCTTTAGCTAGTTATGGCACACTACTGGACCACTTAGCCACATCATCTTTCATCTTGTCTTCCTCGACGAAGCAGTTGCTTGAGCAACCTATCACAAACGATGTCATTTCATTTCCTCAAGATGCAGAGGCATTTGTAAGGGTGCTTCAATCTAAGGTACTTAAGGCTGTACTTCCCATTTGGACCCATCCTCACTTTGCTGAATGCAACTTGGAGTTTATTACTTCAATGATCTCTATTATGAGGCATATTTACATTGGGGTCGAGGTTCGAAATGCCAGTGGCAACACAGAAGCTCACTTATCTGGTCCTCCACCTGATGAATCAGCTATAGCATTGATTGTAGAGATGGGCTTTTCTCGTGCCAGGGCAGAAGAAGCACTGAGACAGGTTGGGACAAATAGTGTGGAGATTGCAACTGATTGGCTGTTTTCACATCCAGAAGAACCACAAGAGGATGATGAACTTGCTCGAGCTGTTGCCATGTCCTTAGGAAACTCAGCTACATCTTTAAAGGAAGATGAAACAGTAAACACTAGTAATGCTGACCAGGAGGAGGAAGCTGTTCAATTGCCTCCCGTTGATGACATTTTATCAGCATGCATTAGACTCCTGCAGGTGAATGAACAATTAGCATTCCCTGTCAGGAATCTGCTTGTTATGATTTGTTCACAAAATGATGGTCAGCACCGGCAGAAGGTTCTCTCCCATATCATTGATCATGTCAAACATTGTTGTACAGCATCAACTCCATTAAGTGAAAGTATGTTGTCTGCACTTTTTCATGTCCTTGCTTTGATTCTCCATGAAGATGTTATGGCACGGGAAGTTGCCTCCCAGGCTGGCCTAATAAAGATTGCTTTGGACCTGCTTTCTGGTTGGAATCCGGGCACTTCTGATGATGGAAAACTGCAAGTTTCAAAGTGGGTGACTGCATGCTTGCTTTCTGTTGATCAGCTGCTTCAGTTGGATCCTAAGATGACTCCGGGAATAGTTAATTTGGAACAACTGAAAAAAGACAATCTTAATAACCCTAATTCCATTGTGATTGATGAGAAGAAAACAAAGGATTTACAGTCTTCTTTCGGATCAACTGTTGGATTTTTGGATATGCAGGACCAGAGGAGGCTTTTGGAAATATGCTGCAGATGTATACAGAATCGATTACCTTCTGAGACAATGCATGTGGTGCTGCAGCTCTGTTCTACATTAACTAAAGTACATTCAGTTGCTGTTAGTTTTCTTGATGCTGGAGGTTTGCATGCTTTGCTTAGTTTGCCTACCAGCAGCTTGTTCCCTGGATTCAATAATGTAGCAGCTGCCATTATCCGTCACATTTTGGAAGACCCTCATACTCTTCAGCAAGCCATGGAATTGGAAATACGCCACAGCCTCATTGCGGCAGCAAATAGACACTCAAATGCAAGAGTTTCACCACGAACTTTTGTTCAAAACTTAGCTATTGTTATTTCCAGGGACCCTGTGGTGTTTCTGAAAGCTGCACAAGCTGTATGCCGGATTGAGATGATAGGTGACAGGCCTAATATTGTGCTGTTGAAAGATCGTGAGAAGGAAAAATCCAAGGCAATAGACAGGGAGAAAATAGCCGAGAAAGACAAAGTACCAGCTAGTGATGACAAGACTACTGGAGTAGAAGTGGTCCCAGTGGCCCCGGGAAGTGGACATGGTAAATCACCAGATTTGAACACAAAGAACCCTAAAGCTCATCGAAAATCTCCTCAGAGTTTTACAAGTGTAATTGAATATCTCTTGGATTTGATTGTGAAATTTGTCCCTCCTTCAGAAGCTGATCACCAAACTGATTCTGTTCCTGGTGTTCCATCACTATCAGACATGGATATTGACTCCACGTCAGCTAAAGGAAAAGGAAAAATCACTGCTGTTTCATCTGAAGATAGCAAAGTTACTACTCAGGAGGCTTTAGCCTCTCTTGCCAAAAGTGCTTTTATTGTGAAGTTGTTGACAGAGATTCTTCTGACTTATGCTTCATCAATCCATGTGTTGCTTCGAAGAGATGCTGAACTCAGTGGCTTCCGTGCTCCTTCAAGGGGTTTATGTGGGAATAGCAGTGGGGGGATCTTTCATCACATTCTTCATAATTTTCTCCTGTACCCAGGAATCTGCAAGAAAGATAAGAAAACTGATGGAGATTGGAGGCATAAGTTAGCTACTAGAGCTAATCAACTTTTGGTGGCATCCTCCGTTCGCTCTGCAGAAGGACGTAGAAGGATTTTTTCTGAAATTACTTATGTGTTCAATGACTTTGCTGACTCATCTAGTCAATGTAGGGCAGCTGATTACCGTATGCATCCCTTTGTTGATCTACTTAATGATATCCTTGCTGCTCGTTCGCCAACTGGTTCATATATCTCAGCAGAAGCTTCAGTTACTTTTATTGATGTTGGGCTTGTTCGCTCTCTAAGTCGGACTCTTAAAGTGCTAGACTTGGACCATTCTGATTCACCAAAGCTCATTACAGGAATTATCAAGGTGTTGGAGTTGGTGACCAAGGAACATGTTCATTCTGCATACATTAATTCTGCAAAGGAGGACAACCCCGTGAGGCTTGCTTCTAATGAGCAACAAGTAGGTTCATCTAATTATCATGGTGATAGGTTTGAGGCCCTGGAAACAACATCCCAACCAGATCATGCAGAAGTGGTGGCTGACCAAAGGGAAGCTTTTAATGCTGTCCAAACTTCAGGAAATTCTGATTCTGTTATAGATGACATGGACCGTGACCGGGAATTGGATGGAGGTTTTGCTCGTGAAGCCGAAGATGATTTCATGCGTGAAGCTTCTGAAGATGGCATTGGCTTGGAGAATGGTGTTTCAACTGTGGAAATTAGATTTGATATACCCCAAAATGCGGAAGATGGTATGGGTGATGAAGATGATGATGAAGATATGTCAGGGGATGAAGGTGAAGTTGATGAGGAAGATGATGAGGATGATGAGGAAAATAATGACTTGGAGGAAGATGAAGTCCATCAGATGTCTCATCCTGACACCGATCATGATGACCATGAGATTGATGATGAAGAATTTGATGAAGATGTCTTGGAAGAAGAGGATGACGATGATGAGGAAGATGATGGTGTGATACTCAGATTGGAAGAGGGTATAAGTGGGATAAATGTTTTCGATCACATTGAAGTTCTTGGTAGTGACAATTTTGCTGCAATGCCTGACATATTTGGTTCTAGACGTCAAGGGCGTACAACATCCATTTACAATCTTCTTGGAAGAACTGGTGATCATTCTGCTCTTCATCTTGAACATCCACTATTGGAAGAGCCTTCTTCTTTTAGACATCTTGTTCACCAAAGACAGACAGGTGATATATCCGATTCTTGTGTTGCTTTATTGTTGGTTTTATATTTATTCTTTTTGTTCTACATAGTTCTCTTAATTAGAGACAATCGGGTGACATATCCATTTCCTCATTTGTTTGTTGTTTAACCTTTTCATCTCTACATGAATTTTCTCATCCATTGCTGGTTTCCTACTTTAGCAGACAGTAATACCAATAGTTACCAATCTGTCAAAAGTACTTCAGGCATCACATGCTTACATTTTCAGATTTTGCTTTTCAGAGAATGCCGTGGATATAGCTTTCTCAGATAGAAATCATGAAAATACTTCTTACAGAATGGATGCTATCTTCCGATCATTGAGAAACGGACGACATGGACATCGTTTTAGTATGTGGTCAGACGATAACCATCAACGTGGTACCTCTAGTGCTCCTGCAGTGCCGCAAGGCATTGAAGAACTACTTGTTTCCCAATTAAGGCAGCCTACTCCTGTCCAAGTATCTGACAGAAATATGCCGACTAACAGTCCACAAGAAAAACATGAACCCAACCAGTTGCAGATGTCAGAAGTGGAAGTTAGGGAAGAAGCTGAAGTAAGAGGTTCTGAGAATAATGAAAATATTATTATTCCTTCACAAGTGATAGATGGTTCTGGAAATGGTGGTGTTGGATCAACCAATGGTGATCCACTTCAAGACACAGGCATTGCTGGTGGAGGTGAGCAAGGGACTGAGATGCAGTACGAACGGAGTGATGCAGTTGTACGAGATGTAGAAGCTGTGAGCCAAGCAAGCAGTGGTAGTGGGGCAACTTTGGGGGAAAGCCTTCGCAGTTTGGAAGTAGAAATAGGAAGTGTTGATGGACATGATGATGGAGATAGGCAAGGTCCTGTGGATAGGCTGCCTCTGGGTGATTTGCAGCCACCAGCTAGGCCGAGAAGGTCTTCTGGAAATGCAATGCCAGGAAGTGCCCGTGATACATCTCTAGAAAGTGTTAGTGAGGTTCCACAACATCAAAACCAAGAAACTGATCAGAATGCTCTAAATGTGGAGCCGCAACCAAATGAAAATGTCAACACTGACACAATAGACCCTACATTTTTGGAGGCTCTTCCGGAGGAATTACGAGCTGAAGTTCTTTCCTCACGACAGAATCAGGTGGCGCAGACTTTGAATGAGCAACCTCAAGCTGATGGAGATATTGATCCTGAATTTCTTGCTGCACTTCCTCCTGATATTAGGGAAGAGGTCCTAGCACAACAACGTGCTCAAAGACGACAGCAATCACAACAATTGGAAGGTCAACCAGTTGAGATGGATGCTGTTTCAATAATTGCTACACTTCCTTCAGAAATTCGGGAGGAGGTAAGCTTAGTGCAGCCCTGTCGTTAGAAATTCAAGCTTTTATTACAAAATTTAGCTGTTGATTTATTTGTTGTTATCTGTAATCATGTTCTTTAAATGTCATATTTCATCCATGTGATGCCCAAAACGTTGTCATTTCAGGTGCTTCTCACATCACCAGATACTCTCTTGGCCACACTAACTCCTGCACTTGTTGCCGAAGCAAACATGTTGCGTGAAAGATTTGCCCATAGAGGCACACTCTTTGGCATGAGTTCTAGAAATCGTCGGGGTGAGTCTTCTAGGCATGGTGAAGCAATTGGGTCCACTCTAGGCCGAAATGTCGAGGCTGCTGTTCGTAGATCTGCAGTTGGCAAACTGATTGAAACTGCTGGTGTGCCTCTAGTTGATACAGATGATCTAAAAGCAATGATCAGACTATTGCGTATTGTTCAGGTAATTGCTTGTTTGTCTTGGTGTTTTATACAATGTTTATTTGATTGACGATTTGACTTGTGAGTTGCAGCCATTGTACAAAGGTCAATTACAGAGGCTTCTCTTGAATCTGTGTACCCATCATGAAACGAGAACTTCTTTGGTGAAAATTTTAATGGACATGCTAATGCTTGATCTAGGAGGATCTGTTAACAATTCAATTGATTCTGCTGAATCGCCATTTCGGTTGTATGGATGCCAGAGTTATGTTGCATACTCCCGTCCTCAATTTAATGGAGGTAATGTTTTAGCTTCAGCAGTATATTGGACTGATTGTGATAATGTGGTCAGGGACTTTTTGTAGACTTGGTGATTCTCATGTAGTTTACACTACATGTTGTTTCATTTAGTACAACAAAATCTCCCCTCACACTAACTAGTTGATTAATTATGTCATGTTTTGCTAAGCATAAAATTATTTTTTTGATTTATAATTGTTCTTCATGTTCATCAAATATCTGTAAATATGCAGGAGTACCCCCACTGGTGTCTCGGCGTATTTTGGAAACTCTGACTTACTTGGCACGAAACCATCTGAACGTGTCTAAACTTTTACTCCATCTTGAATTGCCCTGTCGATCTACATGTGTTCTGGAAGCATCGGATCAGGCACGTGGAAAAGGTGTTCTCATGGAAGAAGATAAACCTGAAGATGAGAGACGAGCATTTGCCATTGTGTTGCTTTTAAGTCTCTTGAGTCAGCCATTGTACATGAGAAGTGTTGCACATCTCGAACAGGTACAACTAACAACTGCTGCGAACTTATTGCTGTTTCAAAAATCGACACCTATGACTGTACCTTTATCTTTTCAGTTGCTAAACCTTGTTGAAGTCATTATTGTAAATGGTGAAAATGACACTGATCTATCCATCAAACCTGGAGCTTCTCTTGAGCAATCATCTGGTCCTGAAAACACCATGCAAGACACACATGTTACTGCTGATGCTGTCCGGTCTTCTGCTGAAGAGGATGTCAAATCTACTACAGACAAGGATTCCAAAAGGCCTTCTACATCAGGTGCAAACATCATGAACAATATAAGTGACATTTTATTGAGCATCCCAGAAGGAGAACTGCAACTTCTATGCTCATTGCTTGCACGTGAAGGGTATGACTTAGTCCTTCCCTTTTTCTTCTTGTTTTATTCACTTTTAAATGATGCATTTAACGATTAATTACTGTGGCCATACTTTAAAAAGCCTGTTTTTTTCTCACAACATGCTTTTAGCTGGAAGGTGCTTTCTAAAGAAACCGTAATTAATGTCCACTTATATGAGTTAATAAAGAGTGATTGGGCCATTGATTTACTTGTATGCTTTTTCTTAAATTGCTCTTAAACTTCACAAGTGTTTGGTTGAGTTGAATCCATATTTTGTTCTTTTGTGCGTCAGAGTTTGCCTGTAGTTTGCTGATGGTGATTGTGGGTGTTCCTTCAAATATATGAATATGCAGTGTAATTTGGTTAGATTGGAGTCTGTCTTAACTCTTAAGTCTTAACTAGGTAGTCTTCTGAGTTAATGATGGAGACAAACCATGGCTGGATCTGTATGTGATATTCCAAACTATTTTGAGCAATGAATTTCACTGTCTTTGTTATTTGATGACAGAAAGGGTCTAATTATTGGTACCCTGTAGCTGGACAATTGAATTTACATGTTTATCCTTCCTAGACAAAAGACCACCAATTGGTGTCCCCCTAAATATGTCAGTCCTAGTCTACAAGGTGGACAACAGTGAACTAAAAGATCATATGTAGCTATTCTTTTTTTCGTGTGCTCCTGTAAGGCTCTTCTGGCAGTCTTATGATCTAGACAGGAAATAATGGTCTTATGTTTATGAAAGATATGATGACTTATTGATAATTCCTTCTCTGGTTACTGTTTCTTCGAACATCTAGTTTTCTCATGTTTAAGGATGGTCTTTTATGTCCATGCCTTTTCCTCCAATCTTGTCTCTTATATTTTGTGATCTTTAATAATGTGTTGCATGAATGGGTGCCGTATGTGGATTTTAAAACAGATCAGAGCAAAGATTTGGACTACTAAACTATTTTGTCTTTCACTGTATATTGGTCTTCAAGTAGTTATTAATTGTTTCTCTTTTTTAAGATTTTAATTTTCTGTTTAATTTTTGCCAGTTTAAGATCTTACTTTGATCAAGTGTAGGTACCTGCTTGGATGGTATTCCATATGTTTCATCATCAGCTTTTCAGTCTTATTTTTTTTTCTTTTTTTCTAGCAAGTTTTGTTTTATTTTTCGACAATCTGATGTTTTCACTAACCAAAATTTAACCAACATAATTGTGGCTTGACTCTTATGAATATTGGCCATTTTATGAAGTTCTTGCATTAACTATGCTGTAAAAAAGCCTTAAATTTTTGATAATTTCATTTCATCTAAAAGCTTAAGCTCATATGTGAGATATTGTACAATTTATATTCTTGACACTACACTCAAGTGTAGGTGGCAGACTGGTCCAGACCCAACATATGCGGAATTTGAATTGATTGGTTTTTATGCGTGTGTGTGTGTTGCATGGATAAGTTTTGAAGACAGAACCTTTTGCTTTGATACCGTACTATATCTTTAGTCAATTCATTTCATCTAAGCCTGCAGATGAGACATGTTTTGATTTATATTCTTAACAAGAAGTTTCTCTCAGTGGTAAAATATTTTGTTATCCAGTCAACTTCTGCTGATGTGCTATCTGGAGTACTGAGGACTATTTGTCCACCAAATTGTATGCTTTGGGGATCTGCTGTGGTTGCCAGCAGGCCATTATGGCATCTATCTTTGTCTTTGTTCCCAGCACCCTTATTTTACTCCTTATATACCTTATCTGCTATGTTCTTTTTTTGCAGTGTGTGCTGCCAGGTTTCACGTATGCTTCTCTGACATGACATACAAATTTATGGAATAACATCCAAATTTTTTGCTACACCAACCTTTATCTTTCCCCTGCCCAAGGATTTTACTTCTCTTTTTGTTAAGCTGTCTCTATTCTTGTTTGTTTTTTACAACTTTTTTTAATTTGCAGATTGTCAGATAATGCATACATGCTTGTGGCTGAGGTATTAAAAAAGATGGTAGCTAGTGCTCCAACATATTGCCGTTTGTTTACTACAGAGCTTGTCAGTTCAGTGCGAAGCTTGAGTGTCTGTGCAATGAATGAACTGAACTCATATGAGGATGCTGAAAAAGCTCTTCTCAGCTCATCTTCTACAAATGGGACTGCGATCTTGCGAGTTTTGCAGGCCTTGAGCTCCCTTGTTGCTGCATTACATGAAAAGGACCCTGAGAAAGACCATACTGATGCTCTTTCTCACGTGTGGGATATAAATGCTGCACTGGAACCATTGTGGCTAGAGCTGAGCAACTGTATAAGCAAAATTGAGATTTCTTCAGAAACCCCATCAGATTTGACTTCTCCTGGAAATCTTGCATCCACAAGTACAGGTGTAGTGCCACCACTACCTGCTGGCGCCCAGAACATCTTGCCATACATAGAATCATTCTTTGTAACATGTGAGAAACTTCGTCCTGGTCAATATGAAGCAGTTCAAGATTTTGCTACCACAACAACTGACATTGAAGAAACTACAACACCAACTGGTGGGCAGAAGTCATCTGGGGCATCTTCAAGCACTGATGAAAAGCATGTTGTTTCTGTTAGGTTTTTAGAGAAACACAGGAAGTTGTTAAATTCATTTATTCGGCAGAATCCTGGTTTGCTTGAGAAGTCATTTTCTCTCATGCTCAAAGTTCCCCGCTTCATTGATTTTGACAACAAACGTGCTCATTTTCGTTCAAAAATAAAACATCAACATGATCATCATCACAGTCCAGTTAGAATTTCGGTGAGAAGAGCCTACATACTGGAGGACTCATATAATCAATTGCGAATGCGGTCACCACACGATTTGAAGGGAAAACTGACTGTGCATTTTCAAGGAGAAGAAGGCATTGATGCTGGTGGGCTCACTCGGGAATGGTATCAGTTGCTTTCCCGTGTAATCTTCGATAAGGGTGCTCTGCTTTTCACAACGGTCGGCAATGAATCGACATTCCAGCCAAATCCCAATTCTGTGTACCAGACAGAACATCTTTCGTATTTCAAGTTTGTTGGACGAGTGGTGGGTTGTTTCTTCGTTTTTAGCATATATTCCCATACCACTTTGTTTGTCTGTGGTTTATAAACATTCCCAATTTTTCTCCAGGTTGGTAAAGCACTCTTTGATAGTCAGCTCCTGGATGTCCATTTCACCCGATCGTTCTACAAACACATCCTTGGTGTAAAGGTTACTTATCATGACATTGAGGCTGTTGATCCTGATTACTATAAGAACCTGAAGTGGATGCTTGAGGTATGCTATACTTGATATGAATTTTGAAGCTCTTGATTCTTTTATTGTCTGCAAATCTTTGCTCATATTTGTTGTTTCATGAGTATTTCAATACTTGTTTTTCTCTCTGTTAATTTTCTGTTGCAGAATGATATAAGTGATGTTTTAGACGTTACTTTCAGCATGGATGCTGATGAAGAAAAGCTGATATTGTATGAAAGGGCAGAGGTATGTGTTTGCTTGTGGTTTCTTCCTGCGTGATCTTAACAGAGGCACACATATAAGATGGTGTAGCATAGATATTTTCTAAGCAGTTCGTTTCAGAAACCTGTCTGCTTAAACTACTAAATTAAGTCACTAGACAATTAACAAAATGCATGAAATGGTTGATTGTTCTTGGGGTCTTATCTTGAATACATATTACATAAACTAGTGATGTGCATATTAGAAGTTCAATGGATAAAATATGTGATTTCTTGCTGTGAATTAAAAGGTGATCATCCATTATCTTCATTCTTTTCCTTATTAGATTTTGTTTCCATTACATGTAATTTGAAATTTGACTTGTATATGCTTCTTTTTTATGTAATGATCCCTAAATTATATTCACATGCTTGCAACAAAAGATAGCTCAAGATGCCTTGTAAAGGACTTGGTAATAATGTCCCTTATGAATATTTATTCTTCCAGCTTATTCTGTGTTTATTGTGTGCTTGCATATGTTAATGTGTTCATTGTCTCATTGAGAAGCTGTAGGTTTTCGCACTTTTCTAAATCTGTTAGGCTTGTGGTTAGATAATGGATTTTCTTTCAATCTATCTTATACTCCATCTTTTTTGCAATTTGAAATCATGTCTCACAATCTCCTAGTATCCCAAATAAATTATGCTTTATTATTTTTCATTTAGTACTATATAGTATATATGTTCTGACATTTTGGTTATGTAGGTGACTGATTGTGAGTTGATTCCTGGTGGGCGAAATATCAGGGTCACTGAAGAAAACAAACATGAATATGTTGATCGTGTAGCAGAACATTTGCTAACAACTGCGATTAGGCCTCAAATCAATGCATTTATGGAAGGTTTTACTGAATTGATACCTAGGGATTTAATATCTATCTTCAATGATAAAGAGCTGGAATTATTAATCAGTGGACTTCCAGATATTGATTGTGAGTTGCTAATAGATATGTTTTTGCAGTGTTCGAGCCAGCATCTTGTATGATAATTACATTCTATCTGTTATTTTATTTCTCATTTATAGACTTTGTTTAACTCCTGACAGTGGATGACTTGAGGGCAAATACTGAGTACTCTGGATACAGTAATGCGTCCCCTGTAATTCAATGGTTCTGGGAAGTCGTTCAGGGCTTCAGCAAGGAGGATAAAGCTCGATTCTTGCAATTTGTCACAGGCACCTCCAAGGTGGTTTTCTTTCCCTGAACATCTTATCTATACATTCTATGAAATAACAATTCACTTAAAAGCAATAGCGGACAAATGCATAGGGTAGCTTGTTTGGGTAAGTTGCTTAAATTGCTGGCTCATGGTAGCCAACCCCAGAGCTGGGGCATTGCAACGTCCCCTTGTTGCTAGTTCATGGGGCATTAGCCTCCTCCATGTGCCGTTCCTTGTAGCATAAGCCTGTATTTTCGTATATCTAATCAGATTATAGGTATTTATAACTTCTTAGGGTTCAAAATGATAAACAAGAGAATATGATTCTCCACCATTTTAGTTTTGACATTGTTCCATGGTTTGAATTACTATGGTATATTGGTTATGCCATACCTTTCCAAGCGTAATGGTACTGCTTTTCCAGCCTTTCTGGTTGGTGGCACGTCTTCCTCCTGCTCCCCCCCTCTTCCTCCTCATCCTTTTGCTCTTAATATTGTATGTATCGGGACTCGTACCTATCTAGCTAACTATTGGTATGGTCCTCTTAACCAAAATTTGAGCCATGCTTCTATATATATTATTGGCATATCAAGGTTGAACATGTATTGCACTCTTATCAGAATCTCGTATAGATTAGACCTTGCATATGTCAAGTATAAATATTATTTATAAGTACCAGGTGATTATTATTTAATTTTATTATTTGAAATTATTATTTTCTATGGTTAGAAGTACCAGGTGATTGGTAATATCTGTATACTGTGATGTCATCAGTTCATGAGATTCGTCAACTTACTTTTGTCCTTCCCATTTGGTTCTTTTTATTTTAATAGCTTAGCTGCTTTTTCATTTTATATAGTTCATCTTATATTTGGTTAGCAGCTGTCTAACAAACATTTAGATAGTTAAGATATTCTCAACTTGTTTACCTTTTTATTTATATCTTGCTATTTATTTTCTACCAGGTCCCATTGGAAGGTTTTAGTGCTCTTCAAGGAATCTCAGGCTCACAGAGGTTTCAGATTCACAAGGCATACGGCACCCCCCACCATCTGCCTTCAGCTCATACTTGGTAAGCCTTTTCTATCTTCTGTATAAAGTAACTTTAAAAAGTAAGCAGACTGAAACTGAGCCAGAGTTTAAGCAATTTTAGGTCTTAAATATTTTCTTTTCTTCAGTATAAAAAAACCAATTACATGATTTTTTTAAAGCTACTAATGAGTATCATCTCCTGACTTCATTTAAAATATGGGACATTTATTTTTGTACCAAGTAGAAAACGATTAATACCATTTTACAATTTTGTTGGGTGGGTGTGTGTATCCAATCCAGTTATGGAAATCTCTCACCCGTGCACATTTCATTCGAGTCAAAGTTGGGATAAGTTGGCAGGTAGTAGTAGCAATTTGCCGATTCCTAAATGGTGGATCAGGGATAGTTTATCAGTGACTGTGGTTGGACTGAAATTAACTAGACAGGGGAAACATCCTTTCACCAGCTGAGACTGCCCTGATGTGAACTCTCTTGTTCAATCCGAATGATGTGGTTCAGGTTTGTTTTAATTTTTAAGTCCCTTTTGGTTATGGAGTAATCATTATCTCCCTCGATGAATTGCTTGTTCCTGCTGTTTGTTTTTCAAGAACTTAATCAGCGACAATCTTAGGTGTGGTCTTCTACCATGTAGCAGTAGTGCTGTGTTCAGTTATCTGATCATTGTTAACATGACATGATTTTGTTTCCACATTATACTTGTTGCAGCTTTAACCAATTAGACCTGCCTGAGTATACCTCCAAAGAACAGCTGGAGGAGAGGCTACTTCTAGCTATCCATGAAGCTAATGAAGGGTTCGGCTTTGGTTGATCGTGATGGAACCTATTCCCCATGATGTACAGATTCTGTATCGAACATGATTTTCGAAGCCAGCTCACCCGATCCGAAATGTGGTTTCTTAAACATTCTCCACCGTGCGTAGAAGCTAAGGGTTTTAATCAGAGGTCAACCGTGATGATGATGAGTTAGGAGGAGAGAAGGCCCTGTTATTCTCAATCTCCAAGTTTTAGTTTGCAGGTTGGGGATGAGGTATACTTTCAGAGCAGAGTGTTGGCGAGCGAAAGTTGTGGGTGTCATATATGCGAGGCCAATTTCTTTTTCTTTCTCCCCAATTGTTTTAGCACACAGCTTTGTACTTGAAATTATCCCAACTTCTTCACTCGAATACTTTTGGGCAGGTGTTGTATGGCAACGTTGCTAAGGTGTTTACCAGTACAAGGTTTACATGACAATCTCATTCGTTCCCTTTTTATTTATTTGTTGGACATCTGTATTTGGTATAACTCATCATCTCTGTGATTCGTTCTGCTCTACACCGTCCAAGCTTTAGTTTGCAGTCAGATAGATAGATAGCGTGTGACCAGTTTCTTTTTCTTTCTTCCCAGTCGCGACAGCGTTTAGCGTTCCTACTTAATATTTGATGGATAATCGGTCGATGTAGGTTTTTAATCTTGTGCACTCACGGAATCTGGGACATGTTTGCTGTTCTATTAAACAAACATGATAGCCGGCCGGATCACTTTGCGTGTGGGCTCTTCTAACTTTCCTATCACAGCACCGATTCTGAAAGCCATGAAAGGCCGTGTCTTTTTCCATCCATTTCGGGCTACATGTTTTGTGATCAAAGGCACGATGATGGGGCTGGAGCAGTCAGTGTCATTCAATGCTTTCACGCGTGCAAAGTGATGTGGCTCTTGAAATGACCAAATCATCGGAAATGCTCCGTGTCCTATTCCTCCCTAGACTTCTCGTCTTGTCCCCGTCCTGACTGACGTGGCTGGGGCCATGTTTGCGTGGGAGTTAAAATGTTCAGGTGGAGGGGCCTCTCACATGCCACGTGGCGTCCACGCGGCAAACATTGAGTCCAAGTTCGAGCCGCACACGGAAAAAGAAGCGGGCAAGACGGAAACAGAGGTGAGAAGACCGAGTAATTTGACTGATGATAGAAAGGGTATATCCGTAATTGAAGCTCCCGCTTTTTCAAAAGTGCGGATTTGGCGAGAATTAATTGCTTGGGTGCCCGGCTTTACCCCTCGGCCCTCTGATCGGACAACTGGTCAGTCCAACGAGTCCGTCCTCGATACCCGCAAACAACAAGCGATTGGCCAACGTCACCACCGCCTTGCACGTCCGAGGAGCAGCTGTTCCCCTTCGTTTCCGTGAGGAGGGTCTTGACCGTAAGCTTACTTCTTCTCCGAGCCCTTTTACTGTTTAAGCGAACGATTCTGTTGTTGTTGGGGTTAAATGTCTCTCCATTTCAACTTGTGTAGGAGGGTTTTGTTTGTTGTCCAGGTATCTGTTGGATCTTGGTTGGCCAGGATGAAGCTTCCCAGTTTCGTAAGTCTCCGGTGGTTTGAAGTTTTTTTGTTCTTGTAGTCTTCTTCGTTCCAAGAATATTTCCATTGGCATTTTGAGAGACTGGGGTAGCTGTTAAATCATGTTTATCTCTCAGCCTGGTGTCCGTATTATATTTTCTCTGGCAATGAAGGGCCAACTTTTTGGATTTGGCAAATGATTACTCCAATTTGAAGAGGATGTGCTTAGGTTTTATTTTATTTTATTTTATTTGTTCGTCAGTGGATCTCTGATCTTTGTTTTTTATAATGTTTACCCAATGGTTAGTGGAAAACGACTATTATTTGATTGCGAAGTAAAAGTATAGGGTTTTATTTGATATTTTTTGCGTTATTTATTGCTTTAGCAACAAAAGATTTTAAAAGTAAGAAAAGATTTCTTTAGCCTGAAGCTGTCTAATCTTTTCTCACAGAGACCGCTGCTGACAGATCCTGCAATTAAGAGAGCATACATATGCAGATTATCTCTTGTGGCTTCTTTTTTCTGCATAGCTCTACTTGTTGGAAGTCCATCGTTGATTAATCATTATAAGCACGTATGTTTCTTTTTTCACACTTTTACCTGGTATTATTAGTAACTACAGTAGTTTACCTGTCAGTTAAGTGTCCGTCTTGATATAAATTGGGTACAATTGTATTTTCTTCTTCACATGCAGCCTCTAATGTTCATCTCTTTTTCGATTTTATTACTCATTTTTTCCCAATAACAACAGTCACATGGTACCCGTTTGTCTTGGAACTGTTGTAGCATTAATGTATAAAAGTAATACATGTGGATACATTGTATATATATGCAGAGAGTATCATCAGGATGGAGAACGACAGCATCTCTGCACGATGCAAAAATGATATCCTGCAAGGTTATATTTTTTTCGCATATTGCTTGCTTTATAAATCTATCATATGCCATTCTTTTTGGTTATCTTTTAGCAGTTGTGTTGATTAACTGTGTATTTCATGTTACAACTACAGATCCAATGCAAACCATCTGGAAGTGAACCATTGCCGGAAGGTATAATCAGAAGAACATCAAACCTAGAAATGCGGCCAATTTGCGGCTTATCACAATCTTCAAAGACAAAGGTAAATGTACTTGTCCCATAGTTACTAAATACGGACTGAAACATTCAACTTACATGGATTGTGTATTTTGGTTAGCAACTAGTCTCAGTCAGCTTCAACATGGTGTTAATTTACAGACATTAAGTGTTTGATGGTTTTGTGCATTTTTATTGAAAACTATCAACATAATTGATTGAAATTGAAATCATATAATGACTTCTGTAGTTTTAATGTGTTGGACAAGGCAGAGTGGATCACATGTGGCTGACTGAATTTTGGAGCTTTCGAAGTTTTCATGGGGTTCACTTTTGCTGAATTTGTAACTCCAAAGTGCAGGATGGTGTCATAAATTACACATGCAACTTTGTGCTGGAAGTTGATGGCTTGAAGTCACCACAATGTGCTTCATCTTATACTGTTTGTATTGTTGGCATGACTTTATATTATTTAAGTAAGCTCTTGATTGACACACATCCAATGTAAGTTTGTTCAAATTTCAACTGCTATTTTCTTAAACCTTAAAGCTAGTTGTTGGACTTCATAAACGAATCGCATAGCAGTCGTTTGGCCTTTATTTCAAGACAAACGAAGGATACAATATGCTAATATTGATGCTGCTTAAGAAACTTGAGTAGTGCATTTAATTTTTACCACATCTTTACTTCTCGTTTTGAATTGAGGTCTATCAGTAGTATGTCCTTGTGACCTGTTATTTATGGAGCAAAATCAATCAATTTCAGGAGCACCAGTATTATTTTAACTGGAACAGTATAAAAAAATGTTAACAACTCCGTGGACTTACCCTCCTATTTAATTGTATCGCTAACCTCAGGGCTCTACATTTTAAAGTTAATTAGGCTGACTTTCCTTTTCATTGATTTCTAATTTTATCAGTATGAATAGGAGAAGAAACATCTAGATGAGATGATAGTAGCCTTTTATTTCTTGTTAAATGTCTAGCATTTTCTTTGTGTTTCCAATGTTAAACCGTGCTTTGTTTCTCCAGAGTAAAACTCTAGCACTTTCTTTCTGTTTTCAATGTTGTAATTCTTGTATTGTATATCATTTTATGGTCAATCTACTTTCAGTAAATGTAATTTGACTCTGGATAGCATTATACGTTATACTGAAAAGAATCTGCACCTGTGCTGAACCAGGAAACTAAACGAGCATCCAGAAGTTTATTAGCCATGGCTGTTGGAATAAAGCAAAAAGAAGTTGTGAATCAAATTGTTGAGAAGGTAGACGTGAACTGTTCACTCATGTTATTATCTAGCGACTGCTAGCTCAACAGCTTATTTTGTCTGATTTTTGGTTTTTTTGTCAGTTCTCTTCCAGTAAATTTACAGTAATGCTTTTTCATTATGATGGTGTTGTTGATGAATGGAGAGACTTACGATGGAGTGACAGCACCATACATGTATCTGCAATCAATCAGACTAAATGGTACTGCTGATGAACTCAGTTGCTTGCAAGTATTAATCAGGTCTTTATTGTTTAGGCAGCTGTACAATGATCTAGACCATGTTTGACTAACATATGTGCAACAGGTGGTTTGCCAAGCGCTTCTTACATCCAGATATTGTTGCAGAGTATGATTATATATTTCTTTGGGATGAGGATCTTGGAGTCGAACATTTTCATCCTCAACGGTATGAGCATTTATCTTGTTGATGTATCACCAATATTTGTTCGAAGGACCTTAAGTTGCCTTTTTAATTCAAACTTCCCCATGTGGACTGAGAATTGCTAGATGATGAAGAGCTAAACTATCTAATTTGTCATGTAGCTGTACTATGGTTTTAACTCTGTAATTCAGTACTTTTTTTCATGAGAATGTTGTACATATTTCTTGTAAATACTACTTAAATTTGCTAGTCGCTTATTAGCAATAATTTCATGAACTTTCCACCAAATTTATGAGATTGTTCATTGGAACTTTAATCTATTTTTTATATCTTTTAAGCCAAAAAAGAACCAATATTGTTGTCCTTTTTTCATTCTGCGAAGCTGAATGACATAATGTCTTTGTCAAATTTTTTCACTTAAATATGAGCTATTAAAAAAATATTTATTAAACTTATGCAGTTATATATCCATTATTGATAAGGAAGGGCTGGAGGTATCACAACCTGCATTGGACACCAGTAAATCAGAAGTTCATCATCAAATAACTGCACGTGGGAGGAAAGGAGATGTACACAGGTCTCGTATGTGTAATTTTGTTAGCAGCATCTTGAAATGTCCATGATTAACGTATGCATAGTTTGAATAAAATGGTGCCTTTGTCATTGACACCTTTTTCGGGGATGGGGGGCGGGCAAATTTACTAATCTATCAAAGACATTTCTACTTGTCATTAACAGAAGAGTTTACAAGGTAAAAAGTAGCGGAGGATGTTATGAGAATAGTACTGCACCTCCATGCACAGGGTGAGAATTTTTAACCCTTTACTAATTGATTGGATAAGACTCTCCTAAACTTGCATTGTTTCACTACTTTTTTATTAAATGCTTCTGGCTTTTTGGTTCCTGTTGTTCTTGTTTACCTGTATGAACTATAATACTTGAGTTTACTGTTTTATCTTTTTGTCATACTTTTCAAATTCAGCTTCAAGTTTTCTGTCTGCAATAATTGATAATCGGAAAACCTTTACAGGTGGGTAGAAATGATGGCTCCTGTGTTCTCAAGAACTTCATGGCACTGTGTGTGGAATATGATCCAGGTCTGCTTCAATGACATGCTATCAATATACTAGTATCCCTGATGTCACAAGATGATCAAATTGAGCCCTTATTTTAGTGTGATCCTTTGGCAGAATGATTTGATTCATGCGTGGGGATTAGACATGAAACTTGGATACTGTGTTCAGGTACTCATCATCCATAGTGATAGCTTTTGTAATTTTTTTAATATCTAACATTATTATACAGGGTGATAGGAGTAAGAACATTGGGGTGGTTGATAGCGAATATATAGTTCATATGGGAATCCCAACACTTGGGGGTTCTGATGAGAACAAGGTATGGTGATACATTTTCTCTGGTTGTGCATACTTTTGAGAAAGTTTTAGCATGCATGAAGTTTAATATTGATATCACACCCTCCATCCAATTTAAATTGATTATGCAGTAGTTTTTTCATGTCTGTCAGACTATTTTTTGACATGGAGAACATAAACTAGGTGTTCATCCTAACTTGCAAATATTGTCTACTAAGGCTTATGGTGCTACCTTCTTGCCACTTGATAGTCATGAATAATTGATTTCTATATAAACATGCATACATTAGTCTCTTTATTTAATTAATTCTTACAGCTCAGATGTTGGTCTCTTTTTCTTAATCATATGCACTGATCGTTTCCTTAGTGCTAGAGACATGGTAAGCAGGTTGCATGTGTCATATATGGACTATAAGATCTTTTTGAAATGTGTTCTTTGATCAGTGTGACTAAAATGTCTATTAATGTTCATTTTGCAACCAAAGTATCCTCTAATTCGCAGCACACACATGCTCTCGTAAGTCCACATTTCAGTTTGCACCTAATCGGCATTATTGTCTTTCTCAGCCAAATGCAGAAACAAGTAGCCCACCCTCTGAGTCAGAGCAGCCTTACTTAGGAACAATGGTAGATTTTTATCCCTTTAGTTCACATTCTGACTACTAGAGTAACTAATTGCACACATAATTTTGCAGGTGCCTTCTGGATCATCCAGCTACAATGATAGATCCGCTGTAAGTGTTTCCTATCTCTGATTTATTCATTCAGTGCCCAGCTTTTTCTGTAGATTAAGTTGTTTGTTTTGTTGCTCTGAATTTTTGGGCTAGCTACCATTCATGAACTCTTGATGCATCTTAAGATCTTGCTGATAATAGTTATTAAATCTGAAAAAAATTCTTTTTGTAATGATTTGAATACAGCTGCTGTTTTTTGGAGACTAGAGATAATTTTCCATTTGGACTTTGGATTGCAGTCAAAAATGCCCAAAGTACCAAAGCTGCAGTTTTGAAAGTTTTCATCATGAGATTTTCCAGTAGGGTGCTAAATGATCAATTTTCTCACATGTTCCAATCCTTCAAAACTAACAAGTTGCTGAGAAATTGTTTCTCTTTTGTTATTGGTAATAATAATGTGATATGTGCTTGTTGCTACATTACTTGATATGTCTTTATTTTCTTGAGACATAAACTGATTTAAAAACCTTGACTCGCAATTGCAAATTTCTCTGCGAAGATTCTAAAATTTCAGCATGTTTTAATATTTTTGGATAACTTGTATATGTACAAAATCCCTAACATTCTTTCCCTTTTTTCTCTGATATAGTCCTGAACTTTTTACTTCTATTTCCCCCTAAATACGAACTTGTTGTCTCTACTATGAAACTTGTCACTCTTCTTAACTGCATTATTCATTGGCCTACATTTTTTGCCAGATAAGGCGCCAGTCTTACGCTGAACTAATGATTTTCCAAAGAAGATGGAAAAGAGCAGTGGCTAAGGATGAGTGCTGGATTGATCCATACCCTGAGCCTATCAAGAACATCAGCAAATAAAGGAAAATATTCTTCTTGCAGACTTTTTGTGAAAGATTAGTCTGACATGATTTTATTTTTTTAGATGTGTATAAACATTATATTTTCAGAATATATATGTACACACACATCAATATGTATATCGGAGAATTAACTGTTGTTGCATTAAAGATAGTTTACCTACTTAAATACTTCATGTGATCTGCATTCATTCAACATGAGCCATCATCATTTTCAAAGTGTTACTCTGAGATGTTTTTCTCTTATCCACATTCTTGAATAGTTCATCTGCAAGCCTTTGACTTGTTTATTGACACTTTTTGACCCTAAATTTGGGTTTGAAGGAATGTAAACCAACCAACCATTCTGATGTTGATGAATCTGACCAAATTCTCAACAGATGTTCTGGCCATTGAGGATTTCATGTATGATTGATGTGGCAAAATGACAGCCATTTCAAAGATCAATCATCTGAGTTCTCCACTATCATTGCAATAGAAAGGTACCCCTATGATTGTGCTACATCAAGCAGCTGAGACACCACAGTATCAAAGGGTAGGCAAGAAAACTAATACCAAGGTTTTTCACTTCTCTTCAGAAAAGGTGGAAGGTAAATTTAGTTGTCAGCAACATGACTTGTTAATGGTGTAGCTCACCGATGATCCTTGAGAAACGTGGTACCTAAACTTAATCGGGTGATATATTTTGGTCTTTCGTTGAGAGATCGTACTAAGAATCAAAATATCCTTTTCAATAAGATATTTGTGGACAGTCCTCATGCAATAGAACTTAAGAAGAATCATGTTCACCTATATCTCCAAGGTATAATCTTATTGTAATATCTGATATTTTCTTTTTACAGTAAAAAGAAAGAAAATACTGATGTCAGAGCTGAAATATGAAACTACATGGAAATTTTCTTCTCTTGAATTTTGAGATCAGCACCAAATAATAAATCTCTCTCATTGTTGTTCAATTAAACCATCTGCACTCACTTCAAGACAAACAAAATGAACATCTATGCAAACACTGGCAACTGGGAATTCAGTATCTTCTGAATTTTTTTTTAAGCATCACAAGTATGAAGACATGTGAGCTGAACAGTAGAAAAAGGATCCATTTCTTCCAGGGCACATGCAAATGGCATCACCAGCTCTCTATTCTTCAGTTGGACCCATCTAATCATAATAGAATTGGTGGTCAAGGCACCAATCACCATAACTTCACTATCAGTCCTCTCCACTCTCCCACTTTCTTTTGTTTCTTTGCACATTGATGTTGGTGCTTCCATGCTCTTCCTCCCTCTCTTCCTCTGACAATAGGCTTCACAAGTTTCAAGGTTCTGAAATCTTTCTGCAAGCCCCTGGGCATCCAAATTCCACCATGAGGCTGGTGTTGGGAATTGGGTCCAAGGCCAGGAAGTTCTTGGCTACATCCTCAGTGAAGGAAAATGTTCTCAATGGGGAAGGTTCAGCTGGGCAATTGGAGTCCAAGGGAGAGAACGTGGATGATGGTTGTGATGCTAAGATCACTGATATCGGTATGATCCTTTGGTTTCTTATTGTTATGTGTCTGATGTTTTCCTGTTTTGGTTGCTCCATTGTCTTTTTGAGTTCATCACTGGCCTTCTTTCTAGTTTGCTTTCTGGATGCTTGACAAGAATGTAACTGTTTTTATGTGATTTATACTATTGCAATAATTGGTGGTTCATAATGTTCATTGTAATATATATATATATATATATGTGTGTGTATTTTTGACAATAAAGTTGAGAAGAAATCCACTTTCTTCTTCTATTTATCACTGACAAGTTGGATGTGTATCTTGTTTCTGTTCTTGTGGATGAATTGAAATCTTTAAATTTAAGAATACTCTATTAAAGTTATATGCTTTTTCTCCTATAAAGGTGTGCCATTACTTTCCCAAGAAATGTGGCAGGTCAATGAAGCTTCTGAGTCTCCAATCTAGATCTAGCTTTTTATTTAATGTAATGATTTTTTGACGAGCTCCTGTTTATTATCTGTACTGGTGCATCTTGTTTTCTGTTATTTTGTGCTTTAGATTTACTAGTCATGGATGGAACTCATTTAAATAAAGACTGAGAAGGATTACTGTGCTGGATGGAACTCATCTAGATTTACTACCAATTCATTAGTATTGGTAGGTTATCTGAGAAGGATTACTTTTATCATCTAAATATATATATTTTTTTATGGGAATCAACTTGTGCTTTTTTGGTGGAAATGAATTGAGATGGAGGAGAGTTATGAAGCAGACAATTTTTGATAAGGATTAAACTGAGGAATGTTACAAATACAAATAAAAAAAAGTCAATAAAAGGAAAGAAAATACTATGCTGCACCATAAGGGAGAAAAAAAAAAAAGGAAGAAAAACAAATATACTGAATAAGTATGGTTAATAAGAAATCCAGTGTAGTCTGGTTTTTCATCTGCATAAAATGTTGCTTGTTCCTTTGCTGAATTGTAGTCACTTGAAGGCCTGTGACTTGCAGATAATAAAGAGGAGGCATTCTTTGACTCACAGGCATGGTTAGATTCTGATTGTGAAGAAGACTTTGTCAGTGTTAATGGAGGTATTCTCATCAAAATGAGGAAGAGAAAGCATGATTTGTTCTTTTGATTTATGTTTCTACTTCCTAACTAATATTTGGATGGATTTTTCTTGTTTGCAGATTTTGTTCCTTCCAGAGGCAGTACTCCTAACTATGAGATGAGTAACAATGAGCCACTCATCTTCTCTGCTGACACTTCTCCTCAGACCAAATCTGAGCCCCCTCCAACTGCTGAGAAGAAGAGACTTGCTCAACTTCTTCAGGAGAACCGACTCGAGGAAGAACTCGGCATCAAACAAGATGATTCCAATAGCAAGGTAAAGATCAATGGAAGATCAGGTATCTGTAAGCTTGATGCAGAACATCATCTTCCAGAAGTCTCTGCTGAAGATGCTACTGAAATGCCTGGCACTAATTCTCCCTGCACAAAAGATGGGCTTCCAAGTAAAGATTACAGTGACCAGAAAGATAAAATGGTGAAGACCCAGCAGTGTTGCCTGCCAAGCTTGGCACACAGCCTTAGCTTTAGAGAGAGAAGGAAGAGGAAGCCACAGTGAATGAACCCTGTTTTCCTGAAGCAGTGTTCCTGTTAGTTATTGTTGATCCCAGCAATCAATAAAGAACTCGTCTGCATAAGGAACCTAGTTTTCTGTGAGAAGCTGAAAGAATTCCTTGTTCTCAGTGGGGAAGGGTGAGAAAACTGATATATCGTTTAGAGGCTGTATATTACTTGTATTGTTCTTGCCTGATATTGTTCAGCTTTATAATAATTCTCATGAATTTGATGTTGCTGGTATAATCTCATGAACTTGATGTAATAGATTATTATTATGTGTGTGATAAAAGCAGGAATATAATTTTTGCGATTATAAAAAGGGCCTCCCCCTCGAGGTAGAGGAGTCTCTCGATTATTTTATCGAGCATCGATTTCGAAGTAGTTTGAATTTAGCATACAATAAGATTTTTGTCGTGATGTATACTTGGAGGGATTTTCAGTTGTTTAAAAAAAAAAAAAAAAAAAAAAGAGCGAATTTGTTTTGGTTCGACGAATTAGGAGTCAATTATCGAGTAGTTTATATTAATTAATTTTAGAAATTAAGATGATTAATTTGGCCTTTTTTTGGTTCCTTAATAGTAATAATATTCCTAAAAATGACTGTTATTAACTAAGCTTTGTTCAAGTGGAGACATACCACTTCGAATAAATATCCAGTGATCTCGATTTTGAATGAGTGTGAGGTGTGATTTGGAAGTAACACTGTTTTGTTACTGTAACGGCCTTATGACATCTAACGGCCTTTATATCATTTCGCGTAATGATATCTTATAACGGCCGTCGTAACGGTCAAACGGCCGTCATTTGAAACGGCGTGGAAATCAACAACCCTAAGCCCTCCCGGTCTCTGCTTCGGTAAATATAGCGAGAAGAAGGCTTCGGTACACTTCCCGACGACCGAGGCCGCGATGAGCGGAGGCAGTCGACGGACGGCGCGAAGCCGGGGAAGGTCCTCGCCTGGAGAGGCCGACGCCGGCGAATCCGCCCGCGGCCCGCGCCGCCCTGTCGAGGGAATCGGAAAGGGACGGAGCCGCGATCACGGCCCGATCCGGTTGAGGGACGTCAGCCTCAAGACGCTGCTAGGGTTAGGGTTCTTGGCCGCGCTGTTTGTGTTTTTCTTGGTTAATAATTATCAATGGGGCTCCTTGAGGGAGGATGCGGCAGTTCGGAGTCTGAGGAGGGCCGTCACGCCGCTGCCGGCCCCCAGGATGATGGATCTTCCCCAGGTAGGTATTTCTTGCAATCCGAGAAAGAGTTCGGAAGCCCTGTACAGTTACTTATGATTAATATAAGGTGGATACCATTTTTAGCTGTTTGGCTTGGTTACAGTTTCAAGGAGAGCACCAGGAGAGCTTGTACTGGGGCACCTACCGACCTCACGTGTACCTTGGAATCCGAGCCAGGTACTGGATTTTGCGATGATTTGGTTCTTTTGTTATCGTTCGCTCCATCTGTGGATTCGATGTAATGATTAACTACAATACTTGTTGGAGAGATTGAAACTTTTGTGGAACCGATAAAACGGGGTTGATCACGTTTGTGTTTGGACTATGTTAAGTTAATTATCAATAATAAAAATCTTGCTCTTCATGTATTTACTAAAATATTGACTGTGGTCAAGGATAGAGGCCTATGGACCACTTAGTATGTTTTCCGATTTTCTTTTGATTTGCGATAGTGGATGTCCAACCTGAAGTTTACATAACTATTCTTTGTTAAAGTCTGTCTGTTGATGTTTAGATTTGTCTAAGCTGCAAGCTTCCTCAAAAGATGTTTTGTTGATATACACGTATATCACTTATGGGAAACACTTGTTCGGTGGTGACTTGCTGTTGTAATCTGCAGGACTCCACAATCACTAATTGCTGGATTAATGTGGATCGGCATAAAGGATGGACAGTACTTTCTTCGTCATATTTGCCAGGATTCTGATGATCTAAGCACATACGGATGGAGAGATCACAATGGTAGGGACTATGGACGTCAAGAAATCGTCGATCATGGATTATCATTCATGACTAGTTTCTTGAAAGAGAAAAGGGAAGGCAGTGGCTATGGTGGCGACTGGGCTGTTAGATTGGATTTGCAGAACACTAAGTAAGTTGTATTTTCAGTTTAATGTTTACTGAGAGGTGAATTTCATCATCATCAGAACTAGGATTAAATATTTTAATTTGTACTATGGTATCATGTGGAGTAGCTTTACATGGATTTTAGCTGTTAATTTACATGACTATTTATTATTACTACAAGTGTCAGTTTCTACTTTCTAGAACCTGGTAAATTGTGGCTTGCCTTTTACATGGTCCATTTGTTTGATTCACAGGTCTAAGGTACATGATGCTGAAGATAGCACTGCACATCTTTTCTTTTATGTTGCTGACGAAGAAGGAAATTCCTTAGGTGTGCAAAGGCAGAAATTTGAATCCCGTGATTCCACTCTTTTGGCATTTGGAGAACGCAATGATGTAGGTGGTTGGGAACTACATTTAGATTCACAGGTATCGTCTTTTAGTTAACTTAGGAAGATATTCCTGATGTGCTTTCAGCTATTCTGGCCCTTTATGTATTAGTAATTGAGTTTAGTACCTTATTTTGTTGGGAAATTTGAAGTTTGACAGATACACTTTTGCTCTTTGCATTTTCTTAGTTTCTAGTTCATGATATATCCATTTTCACATTTTTGATGGATGAAATAAATTTCCCAGTCATATACAGAATAAATTCATGGGGTATATTGTTTTTTGTTGATGTTATTTAAAGTAATGAGAGTTCAATTGATATTCATTTTAAACTTGTGTTATGAAGACAACATAAAAACTAATGGTTTTTGATCAAGTAGGAGTTGTACTAAATATATGAAATACAATATTAGCAACACTAAGAGAATAATTGAGTGTTCAGCTAATATAGTTGGATGATGATTCTATGTCCATAGAGTATAAGCTGGATGATTCTATGCCATGAAGTTTATTATGATTAGATGATTATTTTCCTCTGTTTTGCAGGAAAAATTGGATGCTCACTTTTCTGGGTTCAGAACTCTTCATATGCACAATTTGTCGGAACTTGTTCAGGGCACTCTTGCATTTCATGTAAGTTGGATCTGTTTTAACACTTTTGCAGTGGTTGGCAGGTATCCAGATGCTCATTTTTTCCCCTTCTTTCCTCCCTCTTCTTGTTTAGATGCTGTATGTTATACTAAACTGACAGTTTAAGTTTTTGTTGCTTTGTTGCATGTACTCTAGGCAAGGAGAACTGGGCAACTTCGGTTACCTGATGCAATTGAAGATTCTTCAAATATAATTGTTGTTCAGGTTTTAATAATTTTTGGATTGCACCATAAACCTTGTTAATCATGAAGCACAGACACTTGAAAATGCTTGCATTGGTTTAAATTGTACATAAAATATCTTAATACATTAGGTTTTTTGCAACACATATACATATATGTAATTATCAATTCCCGTGTTCACACTATGTTGTTACCTACTTTATTTAAGATCTATCATGTCAGTGTGTTGTACCATGTCTTGTTGGTTTTTTTATCCATGTCAATACTTCACAGTTGTGAAGCATATTTCTGTAATGTTTTAAATTTTGTTGGACCAAGATGTTCTGACCGTCTTTTACCGGTCCAACCAAGCACTACTAATGGAACATACTGTTCAGACCATTCTTTCATTTTCTTTTATTATTTGTTTCTTGTTGACATTGGGTATTATAAGCTAGTGTACCATATGCTATATTTGTATTATGCTGGTCTGGCAGTTTGTCAAACCTGGTATTGGATCGAATTTGAAACTGTATTTATGATATCCATGTATGACACTTTTGATACATAAGTCTTTTGCCATGTTCAACTTGTGTACTAGAAATACCGTCTTGTGAGGAAGTTTGTGGAGTTCCATTGTTTTATTGAAGAACATTAACTCCTTTTATTTTCTTGAAGTTTTTTGTTAATTACTGTTCTTCTGAATTATAAGGTCTAATGTAATGGGTGCCTGCCATTTTCTTCCAGATTTCCGCAACTGTTCCTGCCAAAATAGATATAACTTTTGTATCTGGAACCAATGTGGAAGGTTCAAGCATCGATGAACGCATCAACAGCCTTACAGGTAGTTATGCTACCTGTTTACTAAATATATTAGCACTCAAGCATTGCACGAGATGTTTGAAACAATTTTAGGTGCAATGGTCCTTTCTAGATTCTACTGGTTTATTATTTCTTTAGCTTAAAACAATACTAGGTGAAACGTTTCTCCCTAGATGGTACTAGTTTATGATTTGTTTAGCTTAGTTTGATAGTATATATGGTAGTTGTGTCTAAACCAAGGTATGTAATTTCGAATAATATCTCCCAGTACGGGCGGTATGTATCGGTCCGTTAGCTGACCGGTACACGGACCGCCCGTTACCGGACGGAACGAAAAAAAAATATTAATATATATAAATATTTATATATAAATATTTTTATATTCGGTGACATCGCGTCGCCTTATATATATAT